GCTGACCAAGCAATATCTGAATACATTTGGTAAGTTTCAAAACAAGGAGGAGAGACCAAAATCACTTGCCGCAACGGGCCTCGTGTGGGATCTTCCAGCTTTGATTTCTAAATCTATTACTAATAAAAGTTAAAGTTATATGTCTCTAAAAGTGTCCACATAGGATTTAAAAGTTCAATTTTATTGGTCCACATCAATATTTAAAATTAAAAAAAAATCCAAATTTTAAAATTATATCATTAACAAAACATATATTTATAGAAAAAAATGTAAAATAATATTGTTAACAAATTTTTCTATTATTAATAACAGTTAAAGCTATATTATTTCCAAGGCATCGACATCAGCATTTAAAATTTCAATTTTATTCGTATATATCAAATAGTAAATTAAAAAAAAGTTTCTTAATTCTAATATTATTGTTAAGAAAATAAATTAAAAACTAAAGAAATTATATTAATAAAAAAACAACATGATATTAAAATATTCAATATCACTGTTTAAGTTACAAATTTAATTTGTTATCTATAATAAAAATATATTCTACTTATACAAGATTAAGTTACTTGATTTTAAAGCTTTTCACCTTAAAATTGTAAATAACTAATAACTATGATTTATATTCATCTAAATTTTTGTTACATATGCAAAACATATTTTTACATAACCTCATGTAATATATTATGCGAAAAAAATAGATTTGTATATTCGATTTGGAATTGCAATATATTAATAGAAATTCTTAGTTTTTAGTTTTTCAATTTGTTATTAATTTTTCTATATTTGTATGTATTAAATTGTACCAGTTTTGCCTACTTAATTATAATTAGAAAAAATGAGAATGAATATAATAAAACTGAATATAATCATACAAAAATCATTAAAATATATAAATAAGATTGAAAAAACATATAAAACAAGAATAAAAATGAACATGATGAAAACAAATTCATTCTTATTAGAAGAGATGATGTATAATCATTGAAAAATTATTTAAAATTTAACACAACCAATTGACAAAAATATATTTAATTCACATATTTTGGGTGATTTTATTCATATCATATTCAACTATTATTTTGGTTTCAAAACTAAAGTTGTTATTAATCTCAAAGTAAATATTTTGTTTATTAGTTGTTTTTTAAATTAATAAATCAAAATAAAATTTTGTATTGGTTAAATAAGAGCAGAAAAATATTAAATTGTTTTCTAAAGTAACACATATATAATTGAAATAAAAATGAAAATGATAAAGAAATAATTTTTTCATCTTGATTTAAAGAAGTGAATGTATAATATTTTTTCATCATATCAATACTATGTTTTAAAAGTAGCATTTGATTAATTTGTAAAATTTTTAGGTAGTTTGATTATATTAACTTATAAGTGTTTGATAAAATAACACATTTTTAAAATACGAAATTCAAAACAAAAGCGTTAAAACATCACAATTTACATTAAAATTATTATATTAACATCATAATATTTTTAATATATTATCAAAACACTAATATAAAATTTATATCATAATAGATATAATTGATTGTATATAATTTTTATCAACAAAATATTCACGCGTAGCGTGGACGTAAAATCTAGTAAAGACGATAAATAATAGTTGATTTTGAGTTAAGAATGATCATAGTGTGTTGAAATAATTATAGAAACAAAAAAAATAATAATGTGGAGCGATGAGCAAATTGGATATATTTGGAGCTTCTCCATATTGAATTGGCCAAAATAAGATACAAGAAAAAGTTGCCTAAAATGGTTGGAAGAGAGCGTATTTGTAAATAATTTTTTGAGAAAACTGGTATAGATCTTCTTTGGGATTCTTTCAAAAGTAAATATGACACCTTCAGAAATATGTATAGGTCGTATAAGAGGTTGGTGAAGTTTACTAGAGTGTCAGCAGACCACAAAACTGGTTTGATTGATATGGATTCCGAATGGTGGGATAACCGTGAAAAGGTATTGTTTTTTATTCTAAAGTTTAAATTAATTTATTGTTACTGATAGTTATTGATGTTTACATTATATACTTTGATTGAATTTTGCAGGAAATACAATATGCAAAATAAATTCGTGAAAACGAAACCCACATATGGAGCTTATGAGTCGTATATTTGGTCGTCAAGGCAGTAAACCAGAAGCTATGTACTCGACTCATTTGAAAAATGCAAAGAATGCTGAACAAGATGAGAGGGTACCAGAAACCCAATATAAGGATGCAGATGATTCGAACATTATTCTACAAGTGATGTGCAACTACGGCCACAAACCATCTTACTGGATTCTCCTCAAGCATCGCCTATTGGTCCATCAAAGCGGTTAACTAGAAAACAATCACGCGTTACTCCATATAAAAGTAATCGAGGAAAAGATGTATCACAAAGTTGGGAGAAAACTTACCACGAAGAAGAAAGTCGTTTGAAACAGAGATAAATGAGCAATTCAGAGAAATGATGGAATTTTGCCGTGTTCAAGTAGCATAAGCGAAAAAGCGTAGAGAAAAGAATGAAGCTCTACCATATAAAGATGCTTATGAAATCTTGCAATCAACTCAAGGTCTAACAAGGTGGACAGATTTTTGGTGGTCTTGTATCAGAATATTAAAAGAGAATCCTTTTGCCCGAGAAATGATTGTTTACAATGAAAGTGATCATGATAGGATCACATTTTTGGAGGGTTATACAGAATATGACCGTCATGGAAATTTCATTGGCAATCGTTTCAAGACTTTGTAAGGTAGCAATGGTGATTCTCCAAGTGTCAACTTAGAACAACACATCAGACCAACAAAAATGGAGAGTCATCGAGAATTTAGTGCTCCATCTCATAGAGAACTAATGTCATTATTCAAAGAATGTGGATATGAACTTGGAGCTGAAAAAATGGTGATAATGGAGAATCTAGCAAGAGGAGGATTAATCTTGAAGATTAATAAATAGTTTTATATTTTTTTTTTGTTTTAAATGCAATAACATTTTAAAGTTTATGGGTTTTGATATTTTGTTTTCATTTAGTTCAGAGCTAATAAATTTTTTGTTTGGGTAACATGTCTCATATTTTTTTTAAATATCTAATCATTTTTTTTATTCTCTTATATTTACAGGCCATGCGATTAAACAAGTTATATTCCTGGGGTTTTGAAAATCTTACAGAAGATAAGTTGCTAGAATTGTACAATCTAGAAGACGAAGAGTATATGGATATGATTATGCAACCTTCAATGGAGTATTATCAACGTTACTTTTCTAAGCGACCAATGGCGCTGGAGCAGGGATTGGGCTGGAGAAACATTGAAAATAAGATTCGTAATAATCCAGCACATTGCATGGCCATGCTAAGGATGCATCCAAAAGCATTTCAGAACCTATGCACAATACTGGAGCAACGTTACAACTTAAAGAATACTGATCATATCAGTATTGATGAGATGGTGGCAATATTTCTCGTTACATGCGCCCAAAATGATACACAACGCTATGTTGGGTTGTCATTTGGTCATTCCCAAGAGACTATCTATCGAAAGTTTCATGAGGTATTGAACGCATTGGAAAGTCTTGCATGTGAGTATTTAAAAACTCCAACAACAGCGTCACTCCAGCATTATCCATGTAAATTACGAGATAATCCCAACTATTGGCCTTTTTTTAGTAGATTTGTTGGGGCATTTGATGGGACACATGTCAGAGTAAAAGTTGGAGGTCGCGATTCAGTTGGGTATTGGGATAGACATGGACAAACAAGTCTAAATATAATGGGCATATGTGATATAAACATGATCTTCAAGTATACATGGCTAGGTGCATCTGGGTCTACACACGTTTCATTGGTGTTACAATATGCAATAGATGGAGACCCAATATTCCCTAAACCTCCAATAGGCAAGTACTATCTTGTTGATTCTGGATATGCAAACAAGCGAGGATTTTTGGCACCGTATAGAGGAAATAGTAGAGAAACTATCAGATACCATCTTTCAGAATTTAATGAGGGTCCTCCTAGGAACAAAAAAAGAATTGTTCAATAATTGGCACGCCTCACTTCGCTCTGTTATCGAACGCACATTTGGAGTTTGGAAGAAAAAATGGAAGATCCTGGACAATTTACCTCGATACGACGTCAAGACTCAAAATAGAATTGTGCATGCTACTTTAGTTCTTCACAATTTTATTAGACGTTACAAAATTCCAGATGCTGATTTTGAAGAAGAAGAAAAGATTACTCGAGATAGTCGTAGGCGACGACTTGAAGAAGAAGAGCTTAGAAGACTCGAGGAAGAAGATGCAACACTTGATAGGCAGTATATAAATAACATACGAGATGAGATTGCAAATATGATTTGGAATGTATGTGGTTAAGTTTTTTAGTTCTCAAAAATTTTATTTAATATATTTTTTATTTATTTGATATATTTTAAGTTAGTATAATTCTATTCTTATTATTAAATTTTATAATAAATATAATTATTATTAATAATTATAAGTTTATTTTATTTTAAATAATTCATACTGCAATTTATACAGCAAAAAAGTTACCAGTCAAATATTTTGACAAAAACTTGATTTAAATCTACAGTTTTTATCACATAATTTTACTGCAAATTAAATCGAATTACAACATCGACTTCAACTCAAATCTAATACTACATGTTACCCGTCATAGCCATATGTATTTGGTGCAATGAAGTTGATTTTGAGTTTTTTTAAAAAGATGATAAATAATAGTCAAAAAAATTATCATAGAAATTTGGATACTCCAAGACGAATAAAAAGTTGATCACACTAATTCCTCAAGTAATTATGGCGTTCTATAAAAAGCACAGCAGTAATCATGGCATTTTCATCTTTACCAAAGCAGTAGTAATCTGCTACGTTAAGATTGCTTTCAGAACCTACATTGAGCGAATCATATTTCGCCACCTCATCAAAAGCCTGATTTTACAGTTGCATCATTAACGGCTTCCCTACCTCGGTGAAGAGAAAACCACGTCACGCGCCTCAATCATTCTGTGTTATCGACACACAAGTACCCATTTCACGTTCACACTCATTACTCTCTCCATATTCACTCTTTTAAAAATCTTAAATCTATCTTCAAGAAGAAAAAAAAAAGTTTATCCTAAAGTGAAGCTTTACAAGAATTTTGCAATGTCGAAAGCGGTTTTGCTGGTGGCTCTCTGCTTCTTACCGGTCCTAGCCATGGCGGCTCGACCGAACAAGAACCCGTTCGTCGTCAGAGGTCGTGTTTATTGTGATACTTGCCTTGCTGGTTTCGAAACTCCTGCCTCTACTTACATCCCTGGTATGATTAACAAAATATTTGAGATCCAATTTCCTATAAAAAAAAATTGTATTTCCAAATTTCTTGTTCCTCTTTTGTGTTTTGAACTTGTGGATCTAGATCGGGTTTGGTCGTGTGTATTGGACTATGTATCAGTTAGGATAACTAATGATTTGGGAAAATAGAGAAAACCGAGTTATTATCATAGATGAGTGGCAGATCGGAGAGAAAAATAGTTTTTTTTTCTAATCCATCAGGTGGATCTTGGTTTAGTGGCTTTCATGAATTTAAGTTTGTTTGGGAGGGAGACACACGTTTTCAGACGGGGATGTATACTCTTCGGCTCAAAACTTACAAAACAATGTGTTTGGTTCGAGTAGGAAGGAAGATGAGTTTTTTGGATGTATAACACCAACTCGCAAAAATGAAAATTTATTCACAAAAGATGTAGATCAAAAGCACAAAGTCGAGTTAAACCTGCATTATATCTAACCCTTCCTTTTTGTGGTAAATGGTAAATAATTATAACCTTTCCTTGCTTTGTAAAAAGTATTTACGGTCACATATATAGTTTTATATATTCTAAGACTATATTTGGATTCTTCATCATGAAGGCTTTGATTTGATATTTAATTTATCATAATTTAACAAACTTGACAAAGGTTATGGCGAGTGAAATATATATATTGGGAGTTAAATTCAGTTTCGTGGTTTTGACGTGCATGATCATTTTTTTCTTTTTTTTAAAAAAGAAAATTGTAATTTGGAGGAGTTTTTTTTGTTGCAAAAATCCTATTTAATTTGCTGTTTATACACTGTTGGGTTTCTTGATATTATGTGACTGCATGCATAGTTATAAATATCTTCATTCTAGAGAATCTAATCCTGTCTACATGTTAGAGTTTCACAATCCATTTTTCAATCTAGAAGAGGTTTAGAATTCTTAGGGTGATTAGTTTCGTTGTTGACCATTAAGGCTGATTATCTTTCACAATGAATATAGGTGCGGTGGTTAGACTGGAGTGCAAAGACAGGAATACAATGGACTTAACATACACCCACGAGGCGAGAACTGACTCAACAGGATCATACAAGATCTTAGTTAGCGAGGACCACGAGGATCAGTTCTGTGATACAATGTTGGGTAGTAGCTCTCAATTACGATGCTCCAACGTCTCCCCTGGCCATGACCGTGCCCGTGTGACCCTCACACGGTTCAACGGCATCGCTTCAAACGAACGTTTCGCCAACAATTTGGGATTTCTAAGGGATGCTGAACTACCAGGCTGTGCAGAGATCATGAAGCTATACCAAGAAACCGAAACCGAGGACTAGTTTATATCACCTACAGCACAAGCCTTTCATTCAGTATGTTGTATCAAGGTTCCTATGACCTATGGGACTGAAATATAATAGCAGCTTGTTGTACTTACCGTCATGGTTATATTACTTAATGAATCTCATCACGGAGGAAAAACATACAGAATCTTGAACGATAGTGCAAATTAGATATTTTCATATGTGCTTGAAGTTACAAACAATGAATACTCATCATGGGATAGATCCTTTTCTCGGACTCATACCACGAGGTTGACCCTCTTCCTCAGAGACATCCTCTGAGCCAATGTGAGCACTGTCAGAGGCGGCGCCATCAGAGACAGATAAGAAGCTGAGTGATTCTAGAGAAGTGGAAGGAATGTCCTCCAAGGAAGCAAGTCTTTTCTTGTCATCCTCTTTCATCCTCTCTGAATGCTTGTTAATGTTGAAACCCGAGTCATCGTTTCCACCAAAGGCTGACTCCAATTTTTCCATGTCGAAGTTCTCCTCCATGATCTGCTTTGTTTCTGGGTCATCTGAGTAAACAAACTTGACTTTGTTCCTTGTCTTTGGCTCTAAGAAGGGCCTCGCCACCTATAGCAACGGTAACACTCATCACGGTTTCAACCAACATAACTTTAACAAAATCTTGCAGGTTTTAGTTTTACCTTCCAGAAGGGTTCAAAGAACTTGGGAGGATTATAGAGGATGGCCAAAAATAATCGCTCAGGGTAGTGTTCTTGTAATACATGAGCGGTTTCTCTTGTAGTTCTTAAAGATACATTCGCCAAGCTATAACCGTTAAAATCAATCATCCACACCATCTGTTCCTCCCCTGGTGGCAAATTTTGGATCGCGTTCTCCATACAATACACAAGGTATCGAATCTGGCCTTTCACTGACTTAGAATTCTGAACAACTCAAGGTAAATGTAGATATGAGATCAAAGTAGACCAAGCCAAAAACTCTCTGCATTGCATTGACGATTTGAACAAACCTCAACACTCGGTCTCATAATTAGAACAGGTCGTCCATGTTTGTCGACACAATTTGATCTATATATCTTCCCTGTCTCTGCTTCATCAGCTATTTCCTCCTACAGAAAAAAACCTTAGCCCATTAGTCATATACTCATATATTATATCAACAAGATCACAAGAATAGTTACCCAACAGATTTCCTCAGGTTTGTATTGAACTCTCCACTTCAAGGTTTCTTTAAGCATCTTGGTAGCTTTCTTGACATGCCAATTACGCGCTCTTAGATACCTCAAAACCGCATCATCCGAACAAAAACTCGAGAGTTTCTCCGGCAATGGCCCTAACAGCTTTCTTACTTCCTCTACCTGAAGTCAAATAAACAAAACAAAAACTCAAAACAGATCTGATTTGAAAGAAGCCTTCACTAAATCACCAAGTTTGAGTTACCTTTGCCTTCTCTTCTTCAGTAGGAACATGTTTCACAAACCCATTAGAGATTGGATTACGATTCATAACTTGGGGAAATTTACTTCTTTATTCCCTACAGAAATGTTAAATTTTTCAGTACCAAATTACCAATACTCTAAAAACAAAACTTTTATTTTTTAATTTCCGAAATTTCAGAAGATCAACAACACACAAAACTGTCATTGATAATCTAAAACTAAGTAAAACCCGAGTTAAGCTAAGACAAATTAACGGTCGGGAAATCAGAAATGTCGACCTTAAACTCGCCGACCACAATCGTAAGTTTCGGGTCGGGAGGATCTTTGTCAACACAAAGGTACAGACTTCAAATTCAAATGGAAATGCCCACTGTATCACAAAGCTGGTGACATGGATGAAAGCATCGGATCTAAAGAACTAACCTTTGAGATAGTATTGGGAACCGAAGCAGAGAGGAAGGCTCAGAAAAGCATCGGAGTTTGAAGTCAAACAAACAAAAAATGGTGTCTATGTGATTGTGAAGCTAGAAAACGACCAAATGGATATTCGACTACTTTACAATTAAAAATATAAAAATTACGAAGATTTGATCTAAGTCTAACACGTGAGCAAAATTAGAATATTCGACTATTTTATTTTGCTCTTTTATTACCATATCTTTTGGTAACTAAAAGGAAAAGTAAAAGCTTTGCTTCCTTTCCTTTGATAGATTTTAATCAAAGTTTCTTTTTGGCTAAAGGATAGTAAACTAAGTAGAGTATATATTGATTAATTTCGACTGCTTTGGAGCAGATTAAGTAGGGGACCCGATTAAGTAGGGTTGAAATTTTTCTATAAAAATATGTTCCGACAAATATAGTTTTTTTTTGGTTAACTCCAACAAATACTATCTAAATCTATTGATTTTTTCAGGTTGCAATGTTCACATTGCAAATGTTCTTGAAAAGCTGCCGGATTTCGCTATTTTATGGAGAATAAAATGGGTGGTTTGGCTGCTTACCAAAACCATTGAATTGTTCAAATGGAGAATTACTAGATTAACCTTAGAATCTATGTTTATTATTTGTTTTCTATGTTTTTTATTTTTATAATTAGATTAATCTGACATACCAAAATATATTTATGATATTTTTTGAAAAAAACGTAACTACAAAAATGATATTATTTTTTTGCCATGTAAACAAAAATAGTGTGCAAAAACAAAAATTTACCGTTTTTTCATGATAAAATTATTTAATTTTGGTTAAAAACTCAAAATTTTGACAATAAATTTGTTTGATGGATGATAGGTCTATACTATTATTTACGAAGTTAAAAGTTTGATGTGTCATTCCAAAAACCATTATATATGTATTTTTGTGCTAACTTCTCATGTGTTTATTTTATTTGCGTTGACATGGCGTTTTGTTTGATTATCATTGGATTATTCATGAAACTGAAACTGATATAAATCTGTTAAAAACTTTTCCTTTCTATATATTAAATAAGTAAGATTATATAGGCCACTGAAGTGAATTCTAATGACATACAATAGTCATTAAAGGCCACTGAAGTGAATTCACCAGCGTTATCAAGCCTGATTTTCTTTATAGCATAATCAGGGAATTGCACTCTCAATCTGATTATTTGGGCAATGAATCTTGCGAAAGCTATATTCCTTGTAATCAATAGACACACACATGTGATCATCTACTAGATACGTCAATTAATACCATAAAATATCTAAATGGCCTGCACGGTGGGTGAATCAGCCCACATATATCACCATGTATTCTCTCTAAAAATACAAGGGATTCATTCCCAACTTTAGCTGGCGAGGGCTTAGTTATGAGTTTTCTTTGAGAACATGCCTGACATGAATACTACAAGAAAGATCGGCTTTTACGTCGGCAGATATCGACGTAAAATCGACGTAAAAGAGCATTTACGTCGAATTAACGACGAATTAAAAATCGTCGTAAAACGATCGTCGTAAAACCGAAATCGTCGTAAAATCGTCGTAAAATTACCAACTCCGGAAAATCGTAGTAAAATCGTCGGGAACTATTCGTCGTAAATGCGTCGTAAAATTTCCAACGGATGTACAACGAAAGAACTCCATCATAAAAACGACGTAAAATCGATGTAAAATTACATCGATTTAACAACGATTAGGAGACGAACAATTTCAATTAAGGGAAACTAAATTTTTAATTGTCGATGTTAAATCGTCGTAAAGTTTCGACGTAAAGCCGACGTAAACTTATTCGTCGTAAATTCGTCGTTAAATATTCGACGTTAAATCGACGTAAATTTACGAGGAATTTACGTCGATTTATAAATTAATTATTTAATTTGATTTTAATTTAATTAATGAATTTTTAAAATAATCAAAAAATTAAAAATAGAAAAAATTTGAATTTAAATTGAAATTTAAATTCAAAAATAATTTATAAAAAAAAAAAATTAATACAAATTGTTTTTTACAAAAAAACATAATCTATACAATGATGTCGTAATCGTCGAGGTTGAGATCGACGTCACGAGGAGGCTCTCCGTCTTGGCCGCCCGTCGCTGCTAGGCCGACGTTTCCCGTCTGCACTACCGGAGCCGAAGTCTGACCGCCCGTCGCTGCTGAGACCGGAGCCGAAGACTGACCACCCTGCGTCTGGTGGTCCGATAGTCCAATACCGGAATTACCACCGGTCACAAAAACCCTCCGTGCTCGCTGTTGCCTCGCTCGGATTGCGGTGGCCAACTGCGGAACCGCTTCCGCAATGATGTCGAAGAGATCATGTATCTCGGTGAGCTCCTGCTTCTGGGCCACTTGCTCATGCCTGAGACTGGTGATCTCAGCATTGGCCGTAGCAAGCTCCTGGCGAAGCTGCGGATCCTGCGTGCGGAATCCGGAAGCCGTGGCGGCAGGACAGTCTCTAATAGAGCCCATCCCTAAGGTTCGGCCCTTCTTCTTTGGAGCAACCTACAAATGGAAAATAAAAACGTTAATTATTTATTAAGTAATTATAAATATAATAAATTTTTAAAAAATTGAAATAGATATTATACCTCTTCGAAAATCTGGTCTTGCTCAGCGACGGTCAAAGGTACTTGGATAGTACCGTCAGGTGTGGCTTGGGTCTCCCGCTCGGTGATCCGCTGCATAGCGGCATTGTAGATCTCCTCGGACCGAGCGTCGAGAAAGCTCCCGTCCTTCTTCCGGTAAGTGGTCTCGAAGAGCTTCGTCATTGGAGGTAGTTCTCCTCCGTTCTCCTCGGCCTACCAATTAATAAACATTATTAGTCAAAAAAATTTAATTAATTCTAGCAATAAATAAAATTAAAATAATAATGAAATAATTTATATTTAATTACTTACCATCATGAGACGTCTTCCCGCAAAAGATATTTGGCCAGAAGTGTGCGGGGTCACTAACTTCTCACCAGTCACCGGATCGACCCGGTTTCGGACGGCCGAACACTTAGCAGCGGTGGTTTGGGCATGCGGGTCCACCCAATACGCCTTCAACCCGTTCCAACACCAAGTGGACATGGAGCTCGGCTTTGCGTCGTCGCCGTCAGTCTCCCATTTCCGCTTCCAATCGGAAACGGTGTTGACTAGGCGTTTCTTCGCCTTTTCCTCGAAAGCTTCGCGGACCGTCTCGTTGATCCCGATGTCCCAGTTCCACCGTTGCTGCAAAAGAAAACAAAAAATTAGATAAACAATATAAAAGTAAGATTAATTAAATTTAAAACAATTTAAAATGATATAAATAAGATTTTAAAAATATTACCGCGAAGCACTTGTACCAGGTGTCGCACGTCTCTTGTGACACCTTGCTCCAATTGACGTGCGGCTCCACGAAATGACTCTTAGGGGGGGTATTGGATCTTGGAATTTAATTGAATCTAAGAGAATTCAATTTAAGACATAGTAGGAGAATCTCACGTGTTTTAAAGGCTTTGATAAAATTTGTTTTGTTTTCATGTTTAGAATTGAAAAGAATGTAAAAGAATTTTATTCTAGATTTGAAAAGAATGCAAAAGAATTTCCATAAGTACAAATTCTTTTAAAATCTATAAATTTTGAATTAAACATTAAACATTATTTTATAAATAGGAACAAACTAGTTTTCTTCTAGTTTCTTTTTAAGAAGATATAATTATTTTATTGAAAAATTAAACATTATTACTAAATTTCCATAAATTGTAAATTGAAGATAAAAAAAAAAGAGAAAAACAACTGCAGCTATGAATGAGTTGTAGCAATTTTTATTAAATGCATAACAATATTTAAGAATTTTCTAAACCTGTAGCATCTCTCCACATATCTTCAGCCATAGCTTTTCTCCAATTATTTGCGATTTCTCTGTCTTGCTCTTGCGTCTCCAGAAACTCATCTCTATCAACTTGATTGGTAGTGTTTTCTTCACCGGGAAATTCACCTAAATCTGAGCGGCATTCTTTACGAAGAAAGTTATGCAACGCTGCACATGCTAATACTAATCCAGCTTGTTTCTCGTAAGAAAAAGGAGGTTGAGATTTAAAAAACACAAATCGAGATTTAAAAATTCCAAATATTCTTTCGATGACATTTCTCAAACTAGCATGTCGAAGATTGAATAACTCAGCTGCAGTATTAGGATCACGTCCTTTGCCAGTCCATTCTTGTAGATGATAACGAACACCACGAAATGGAGCCAAAAAATTAAGTCGATTTGCAAAGCCACAATCAACTAGATAAAACTTCCCTGAAAATTAAAATGAAAATTCGCTATTAATAATTAGACATATGATATTTAAATTAATTTATATTTTTTTTACCTTCAGGTACTTGGAAATTGTTTGTTCTTCTTGTTAAAGCATCACTTAACACTCTTGAATCATGTGCTGAACCTTCCCATCCACTAAGAACATATATGAATTCCAAGTCAAAGTTACATGCAGCTAAAACATTTTGTGATATTTCTCCTTTTCGATTACGGTAGCTTGCCACATCAGGTCCAAACACTGTTGCGGGTATATGTGTATCATCTAGCGCGCCAACACAATTCTAAAAAAAAATTAATTAGATTTTGAAAAAAATATAAAATATAAATAAGACAAGAGATAAATAATAATTTTAAAAAATAAATATAAAAATATAAATAACATAAGAGATGAAATAATGTACCTTAAAATATGGATAGAATCGTGTACTTTCTCTGATTTTCATAGGTACTAAACCATTTGGTTTCACCATTAGACTTGGAGCTATTACAAGTATAGCTTTTAAGATACAATTAAAGCTAGTGCTTATTGCAAACTTGGATCTTTTAAATGTGTCCTTAACATAGCAATATCTTGAATTTTGCCCAACCGTAAGCATAAAGATAGCAAGCATTTCTTCAACAGCTATGAATCTTGTGTCTTGTAAACCAACTTTCTCTCTAAGTACTTTAGATAACTTCAAAAACACATCTGGAAACATACGGTACAACACCCGAAAATGTTTAGGATCTTCTTTTAATACCTTTTGTATGTATTCTCCACCGAGTCTTGTGACTGGTCGACGAATTGGACGTTCAATAAAACTATCACCCATGACAAATTTTCGTGAGTTTAGGAATTGAACTCCTACAGCCACCATCACCACCATTAGAGATATGCTTGTGTCAAAATCGTCATTTTCTGTTTGTTCATTATCTTCTCTTGTGACGTCTTCTTCATAAAAATTTGGATCCATCAAAAATAATCTGTTTAAAAGTTTAGCAATTAGAATCCAATATGGTACTTATCAAAAAATGTACAACAAGTGAAAAGAATTATAAGATAAAGAAGTCATGCAGAAGAGGATATTCCCAGACTATGATGCTTATTTTACGTACCACGTTGGAATGTTGTGGCTTTCTTCTACTTTCGTTTAATTGATATTCTTTGCTTTGAAACTAGAGAAGCTAGACATGGCTATATATAACGTCAATTTCACGTATTCAGTTTTCAAGTTTCAAGTATTTTAATCTATTTAGATACTATTTTTTAGGGATTTTATGATATTGATTGACTACAAATAATGCTATTTGTAAGGGATCATATGATATGGATTGACCATAATTATAAAAACGTTTTTATGTTTTTTTCAAAAAGGGCCACTGGTTTTATTATTTGAATTTGAAAGTTTGAAATGGTTGTTATATTTTGCAGTGTTGATAGATACACACGTCTCCAAATATCTTATAAATTGTTTTGTTTTTAAATTAATGTAAAAACTATATGTGTTTTGTTGGGATTATATCTTGCATGAACTTATTTTAATTTTTTTTTATGACCAATTGACAATACCAAGACGATCTTGTTTTGAATATTAAAAAGATCATCAACAATCATTTTCGCATAAAAATTAACTGAACATGAATTCTAAAACACTTTTGGCGATAATACAACATCAATGCATATACTGATCAAAAGTGTCATAGCTTAATAAAGAGTCTGCAGCTCCAAGTCTTTAGGCCCATAAGCTGTTAGAGATAAAAGCGCAGGCCTAGTTGAGACAAGTTGACAATGCTTTAATTAAATCATACCATGGTCTGTTAAACCATACCACAGACTACAATTTGGTTTTAATTGTTTCGATAATGTAAATATTTAACAAAGTATCTTAAATGTAAAATAGGAATAGTCGACCAATTTTGATAAGTAAATTAATAAGTAAATAGTTAGTTCAAAATTGAAATTTTTATTAACTTAATTAAAATGACATATTTGCTGAAAAACCAGAAAAAACTAAAACAATTATTCAAATTCATCTCCAAATTATTAGATGCATAGCTAAAATCCTAAAAACTAATATTTTAGATGTTACGGAGAATCCAACCCAAGCGTTCTTCAACAGACATGCTAACAAACACGTCTTTCATCTTCAATGTGTGAATCTTGGTTACTGCATCATAACGAATATGCTCTTCCAAACCAGGAATCTCTTTAATAGCATCCCAAACATTATTCTTTTTTTTTTTCAGTTTCTCGTAACTCAACTTCTCTTTGATACCTTTCTTCTTTTTGTTGAATAAGATTTATGAGATTAGTACTAACTCCAATCATTTCAGTTAGTACTTGTTCAGAGTGATCGCCAAGATTAGTCGACTTTGACGGATCTCCATTACCAGAGGGTTTAGCTCTCTTCCTAGAATGTAGCTTTTCTTTCGAAGTTTCATATGCTGGTATGTTAACTTCGCAGACATTCTCCATATGATCCACATCTTCTCTTTCTTGAACATCATTTTCAACTTCAAAAGTTGCAGCATTTGTATTACCACCTAGTCCAAACACGGTGCTTCCTCTTGCAATAACATTTTCAAAAATGATTTGCAAATCCTCATAGTCTTCGAAAGTGTTATTCCGCATATATTCATGGTTTGGATGTCCCTGACAAAATATGATATATTCATTAGTGAAAAAAATATTGTGAAATTTAATAAAGAATTTATAAAGATATTAAAATATTACCTTAAAATATTCTTCCCACACCTCATCTGAAGCTGTGAATTGTTTTGTGATAGGATCCCATCCAAAACCAGAGCTACATCGGAGAAGTTCTGCATAGCTTTGGTATTCTTTTTTCAAAGATTTCATTCGATTCACATAATTTTTGTAAGTCTTACAGCACCCGAGTTTTTGATTTAAAACTGGCAGTATCCTCGTCTCAATTGTTGATTTGCTTATAGAACCATTTGAGTCACGCCATCCCTGTTTGATACCATCAACCAGTAAACGTTTCAACAATTGACTTTCCTGGGATGTCCACATAAAATATCACCTTTTGCTTTTTTTGGTTGTGAAGATCCTCCTATTTCCATCTAATTAAAGAAAAAAGGGTATACATGAATATATTAACGTAGATGTGCCAAAAAGATTCAATATATATAGTAAATGTATAATATGCAATGCTATAAATATAGGTGAGATGATATAACAGATAAGTTTTGATTTTTTTAATTTGTAGAAAATAATTACTGTTTTGTAGGGATTTTATAATATATGATTGACTAGATGAACAACATTTGAAATTTAAATACTATTTTGTAGAGATTTTAAGGATATATAATAGTATTTTTTTGATTTTTTTATATATTATTGATTAGAATTTGTGACCAATAACTAGAAAGATCTTATAACAAAATTATCATAATTAAATTGTAGAAGAGTAATGTGAAAACACAACATAATAACATAATGATAAATAATATTACGACACAATAGTATAATTCCTTCTAAATCACAGCCTAAGAGCAGAGAATTGGTTCTTTACATTTTTACAACCATTCTCTATTAAATTCTTTAGAAATAACGTTACTCCAAAATCCATCTAATATTGAATAACACAAAACTTTAATAGAATTTAAAACCTCATAAATTGAATAACAGTAGAATTTAAAGCATTTTAAAAGAATGACTACAAATACTTAATCCAATAACACCTACATTTAAAAGAATCGATGAAATAACTCATTGAATAACACAGAATTTAATAGAAACCTTAATTCCTGCAAAATCAGTAAAATTTCGAGATCCAATACCCCCCCTTTAATTGTGTCGGAAACGCTCCGCCCGACACAATTATCCAAAGTAAACCTATGAAACCAAAAAAAAAAATTATTACATTAATATTTAAGTAAATTAAAGCGTTAATTTAAAAACTATAAAAAACAAAAAAGTTTACTTACCAATAAGAGCCTGGTTCCGCTTTTCCGGGAACCAGACGTCGTAAAGCTCCCCGTCCCGGTAAGGCTAGTAAATCCTCAACCGTAAACTGGGCATACGGATGAGGAGGGGCGGGTACCGGTTCGGCAGCCGGGGCGGGTACCGGTTCGACAGCCGGCGGTGGAGGTGGTGGTGGAGGCGGTGGTAAAGACGGCTCCGCGGTATTCGGAACCTGGGAGGCTCCGGAAGATGAAGGGACATCGGTCCCGGTGTTTCCCGAGGCAGAAGCCCGGGAAGAATGTCCGTCCGCCATGAAATTGATGTAATGCGTCCTCCGTCGAGTCATCGTCTGCAAAACCAAAAAAATTTTATTTTTCAAATTAATTACAATTAATTTTTAATTACGATCCTAAATCTAACAAATTCCGATCTTAAATCTAACAAATTCCGAGCCTAAACTAATTCCCGACCTAAACCGTTTGAATTTCTAAACTATTTAAAATTATTATAATTTTAAGTAATTAAAAAAAATTATTTACCTTTTTTTTTTGCGTCAAAAGGAGGAGGTGGGAAGGAGGAAGCAGAGAGAGAGGAAGGAGAGATAAGCGACGAAATGAGGAAGGGGTGAGGTCCTATATATAGAATTTATATTCGTCGTAAATTCGACGTAAACATTACGACGAATTTACGACGAATCCGTCGTAAATTCGTCGCAAAGGTCCCACCGTACAACAAAGCGAGTAAGACAAACACACGTGGCTGTATCTGGGCTTTGCGACGAGTTTACGATGATCCGTGCTATTCGTTGTAAAATCGTCGTAATGTTACGACGATTTTACGACGAATCGTATAAATCAAAAAAATTAAGACGGCTGTGTATCCACAAATCGTCGTAAATTCGTCGTAACATTACGACGAATTTACGACGAATTATACCAAAACTGATGAAATTCAAAAATTGAAACATCCATAAGCACATACAAGCATGTCTATTCATGATAAATGTGGTCTGTATAACTTTCTAGCATGTTTACATAACTTAATGAAGAATTTAGTAGATGTAAGATAAATCCATACATCTTGTGTAAATGTATATAACACCTTAAGATTACTTGATAAACACATATATGTCAAATTTTGAATTTTTTTTTTTTTTTGTTTAGAAAGTTGTTTTACCTTATGAGATGGTAAGCCATTTCATTCTCCTCATCAAATCCCCCCCTGAACCCCATAAAAGATTGATTATAAGATTTAAGGGTTATATTTCGTCGTATTTTCGATGGTATATTACGACGAATTTACGACGATCACTCCCATTCGTCGTAAATTCGTCGTAATAAAAACCACATTTCTATAAGTTCCTGAACCTTATACTACATACTCTTATATAATACATCAGTTTACTTAGGAAAATGAACCCAAAAACCATTCTGTAAGTTGGGAAAGCTAAACCCTATAGGGTTTAGGGTTTGCATATTACGACGAATTTACGACGATTTCTCAACATATGTCCAAGTCAACACTTAAACAAATTTTCATCAACATTTAATTAGTCTTCATTAA